ATAGAATTATACCTGTGGGACTTTAAATTTTTAGTAAAACCTTTTTTAGTGATGACAAAGCAACTTTAAACCCTATTTTTCTTCACTTACCAATTTATAAAAACATTAATAATATTACCCAATGGAATTTAAGAAGAGTACTTGAAAGTATATTTACAGCATTTTAACCTTGTAAATTAATCAGATGTCTAACAAACAAAAATACTCAGAAATATGAGTAATCCCATGTCAAATCTACTTTATTTATTTTACCAAAATATCAGATAAGTATATTGAACAGTATTAGCCATTTCTTCCTTGTTGAAGAAAAGTCCTATAACCAAGAGAAATTAGACATTTTATAGGCATCAACATTTAATTAGTTCTTTGCCCACCTAGAGAGACTTGTGAGTTAAGTTTAATTTTAAAGACATCTTTCTTTCATCTGTTTACCCAATTTAAACTGAACCATTTTAAATCATGTGAATTAAAGATATTTGAATCCATTTTTTAAAAATTTTATGAGTGTTCCTTATCTAACTGCCAGTTTTCATGCTATGTACATGATATATGGACATACGCACATATAGGCATACAACACATAACACAAGTGTGCATACATAACACAGTAGTAAAGGCCTTGTAGCTTTTCGCCTTGTAGCTTTTCTGTTGCAATATTTAAAAACTCCATAGTTGGGGGCTAGGGGTATAGCTCAGTTGGAAGAGTGCTTGTCTCTCAAGCCCAAGGCCCTGGGTTCAATCCCCAGCACCAAAAATGAATGAATGAATAAATAAATAAATAAATAAATAAAAACTCCATAGTTGAATAAAAAATAGGACTGATAGGAAAGACATTAACCTAGGTCTGTAGGGTCAAAATCATGAGCTTAAAAAAAAAACCAGAATCTAAGAAAAAGCAAGAGTCCTAGAAAAAATGACCAGCCAGGAATTAGTAAAGTAACATACAGTTTACTTTTTGGTTTAGTCTAATATAAATTCAGATAAAAAGCACTTTTACTTTTTTTTTCCTCTTGGGCCTCATATTAGTCTCCTACTGAGCCTGCAGGCTTCTTCCATTTGCATTTCAATGTAAGCTCTGGCTGAGGTCTGGGGAAAACATCTCCTGTCTAAGGTGTTTTAACTATTTTTTCTAGTTGGTAATTGGACAGGTTTGGATGTCTAAAATCATGGTACCTTATTTTCTGTTACCTTTGAGAACAAAGCTACAATGTTAAGCTCCTTCCTAAGATAAGCCATTTACTGTTGAACAGGTCCTTGGCATTTCCTTGCCATTCCTAGGGTTAGTCTTCCTCTCTCAGTGACAAACAGGTTAAATCTGGCTCCAAAGTCTGTTCATAACTCAGGGGGAGTAAACCTTTTGGCTGTTCGGATATTTCTAAGAGTTCTAAGGTAAGAGGAGAGAACAGAAAAGCTGGTGCTTGTATTCTAGGGGAAATTGACTTCTGGCTCCTTACAGAGACGCAGGGGAAGCATACCTGGGGCATTGAAGGAAAAAGCTTGGCTAAGTTCACCTCCATGGGGGCTGGGGATGTGGCTCAAGAGGTAGCACGCTCGCCTGGCATGCTCCTCAACACCACATACAAACAAAGATGTGGTGTCCACCGAAACCTAAAAAAATATATAAATAAATATTTAAAAATTTTTTAAAAAGACTCCTTATTAATTATTTTATCTCTGAGGAACCAACTTCTAACTGCAAGATTGTAAAATGCTTCAAAATACCATTCAAATACCAGATTGTTACAGTAAAACATCGTCTTTTTAGACACATTTACATCTATAGGTGGCCCATTCAGCCACGATTATTCCCAGGAAACAATCTATCATATCAACACATTGCCCATGACTTAAAGGGCCAGAAACAGATACAAACAAAGACACAATGACAGACAGGAAGAGAGGAGCTCCAAACTTGGCCAACAGGCAGAAACCTTTAAAACAGACCAGATAGGGGGAAAATCTCCTCAAGTTCCCAACTAACACTTAACTATGACTTCTACACAGGTGGCACCACGAATGTCCCCATGAGTTGACCAGATGTTCCCACAAAGGGGAACCAGAAGTGTAAAATGAAGGGTCTTGGTGTGGCGACTTTACTGTGGCGACTTCACTGCATTAAGTTTTCTTTTCTTTTTTTTTAGGAAGACAGAGATGGAGCAATCCTTACAGTGTGGGGTGGTGGTGGGGGCGTGTTCCCTGAAGCAAAAGGGGCTTTGGCAGCTGCTGGGAGTGGCACAGCTCCTCTGGTTCTGGTTCTGTCTGACCACAGGCATACTCGCCTGTCTCCAACTTTCCAGTAGTCAGCTCTCAAAAAGTTCATCTTACATCCTAGGTATCAAAGTGCAGTTGCTTGGAGTGCTAGGTTTCCCCAAGAAAGAGGAGCGGGGGCTGCTCTGAAGTCCCACTGGGGTGTCAAAATTTGTAACTGTTTTCTCAAAACCATGTCCTCATTATTAAATTGGCATTAACTGGCTTTGGGGATGGGAACTGAGTTCAAGGCATGGTCAGGAATTCCAAAGAAGTTTAGAAATCTCAGTAATTTATAGAAAAACAGAGATTAACTTTTCATGACTTTGTGACAAGATAGCTCCAAATCTTAAGATGGAATTAGGCTGGGTTCATCTGTTTCTCTGCGGCTATGTTGGAGACAATGATTTGGGATGTGTAGCCTACTGGAGTTTGATCTGTAATTTGTCCATGGGAAGGAAATATATAAGGAACAGGATTAGAGAAAGAAGATTTAAAGATCTCCTAAGAAAGGGTCATAAAAGTGAGTCAACATGAGTGTTTATGGTGAATGTTCAGGTTTTGAAGGATGGAGAGTTTGCATACCATGAGGAGGGGACAGCTGGGCATGGAGACTTCCACCATGAAATCCTTATGCAATCTGCCTCAGCACCCAAAAGTGTCCCATTTTGAAAACTTGGATTCAGTAAGATGTCATTGTGGCCCTCGAGGTTGGGAATATGTTTAATCTTCTGAATCTAAGCTTTTCCTACATGTGGAGTAGGCTGGTTTCTGAGTTCAAATGTTTCCTTTTATTCCCTCTTGATTCCTTTGTAGAACGTTGCTTCCATATAGCTCCATTGCCCCCTGAACTGTACTCCCCTGTGGGTATGTAGGTAGGGTAGATAGACAGCAAAGGCGTAAGAAAGCCTTGGCTGTGAAGCCAGCTGTCTCATCCCAAATGTCAGACCTCTGACAATACAGGGTACTGCCTCACTCCCTTCTGTTCCATTATGTCCTGCTAATACTGCCAGTTACCTGTGACAAGTTCTGCTACCTCAAATGTTGAAGTCTGAACATTAGAGAAGCATGCCGAGAGGCAAGCATACAAAGCGGGTTTATTTAAAAAGGGGTAACATAGACTTCTCCCAGGAGAAAGAAGGGGGCTGTAGCTGGTATCCTGGTATCTCCAGAAGCAAGGTGTTCTGCCCTTTTTCTATGTCCTAGGCTTCTTTTGTTCTCCTGCCTTTATCCCCTTATATTTCTCCTTCCTGCATATGTGACTAGCCCAGGACTAGGCCCAGGAATGCTCAGTAGAACAGACCAAAGGTGGGAAAGTGTGGGCTGAAGGGGGAAGGGCAGGAGGAAGCAGCCCAGGACAGGCTGATTAACAATCTTATAGCTCCCTGTAGGGAGGGGCAATATCTGGGACAGGTTACCTTAGAGCAGGGGCTGATAAGGGTGGAGGAAGGGCTCTGAAGGAATTAACATTTCAATCCCTCAGGGGATAGTCTCCAACTTGCCTCACTCACTCAAAATTGGCCTCCTTGATCTGACCTGACTCAACTTACCTATCTATGCTGACTACCTGTCTGATTCTGGCTTCACTAGCAGTCCGGGTAGATGTCATTTTCTTTGTTGGTACCAAATTGAACCCTGGGGTGCTTAACCACGGAGCCACTTCCCAGCCCTTTTTCTTTTTTTTCTGTTTTTATTTTGAGATTGGTTCTTGCTAAATTGCTGAGGCTGGCTTGAACTTGCAATCCCCCACCTCAGCCTCCAGAGCTGCAGGGACTCCAGGCATGTGCCACCATGTTTGACAAGATGTCCTTTCCTGAGGTGGGATGTTATCTCGTGGACATTGCCTCTGGAATTGCCTAAGTACATTCACTGGTTCCCTCAATTAGGGGGCAGCAACAGAAAGAGCCCACTGATTACAATGAGATGACAACACCAGTTCTGAAAGGCCAGGATCGAATTTTGCTTAAGCAATTAAATCCAGATTTTTCAATTCTGCAATAAATTTCATTTAATTATATATTATAATAATTAATATAGTTAAGAATATTAATATCTCTTATTGGTTATATTTTAAATGACCTTTTAAGGCTGGGGCTGGGGCTCAGTGGTAGAGCGCTGGCCTAGCATGCATGAGGCACTGGGTTCGATCCTCAGCACCACATAAATAATAAATTAATAAAATAAAGATATTGTGCCCACCTATAATTTAAAAATAATAAATAATAAATGGTCTTTTATAAAATTATATTACATATCATATACTATATTTAGTTTTTATAGGTGTTCCCAGACCTGGGAGGTTGGATCTAAATGGACACATGCAATAATCCCTCACGTCAGGTCAGGTCCAGGCCCTGGATAGTTGCTGGGGCTGAGAAGGGCTGTAGATAGAAACCGCCTCTTGGGTTCCATTCATCCAAGTAGAGGTTCTATCCTGCTGTCACTCAGGGTTCAGGGGCGGGTCCTGGATCACTAGCCAATCAGAGACACGGGGGTGGGGCTGCAGGAACTGTCCAATCAGGAGCGCAGCTGGAAGAGGGCGGGAACCTTCCTCTTTTGAACAGCTTTCTTCCTGGGACGCGGTAGTGTGCCTCGCGAGTTCTGTGAGCAGAGCTTGTAAGTGGCTCAGCGTCCTCGCTGTGACATCTCCGTTCTACAGGCTGAGGCGACCCCGGGAACCCTAGAAGGCGGGGAATGGTGAGTGTGGAGGGCGCCCTTCCCGCAAGGGGAGCGGGTCGCGGTGAAGGGGACAGATGAGTCGCTGTGGAGGGACCTGGGCCTCCGGCGGCAGCTGCGGCGACTGCGGTCGGAGTCCGGCCGGGCCCCGGGTCCTGCGCGGCGCTTTGCCGGCCGGAGCGGTCTGTGGGCAGCGCGGCCCCCCAGCCCGCGTCTCCCCCTCTGCGGTGGCGGCGGGAGGGTCGCGGGGAGAGTCCCGCCGGGTGAGGCGGGGCCTGGGA